ATGCGCCCTCGCCCTTTTCAGTTGGTGCCCGGGGCTCTTTCCTGAATGTGGAGCGACGGCGGACGATGTGGGACTCGCCGCCCCCTTCGATTTCGCCCCTCCCCGCTCTCGCCCCCCCCTTCGACGCCGCCCGCACTCTTGCGAACCTGTCCCTCCAGCCCGAAAAAGTGGTGCGTCGCCCCCCTGGCGGCGTCTTGCACGCCAGCCGTGGAGGCGAATTTCCAGAGCATGATAGCCGATCTCGCCCCTCAATGGTCAGAATTTCACACGCGTGGACATGCGACCTTCCTCGGAATTGAGTTCGGCCCTGGAGCTTCCTCAGAACAGCAATGGGCCGCCCCCTCTCAGAAATGGCGCGCCCGCGCGATCGAGACAGCTCTCTCCCGCTCTCCAGCGGAAGCCAGCTGCAGGCTCTATAATTTCTGCATTCTCCCTATCCTTAGCTATGTCTGCCAGCTCTTCCCTCTCCCCCCGTCCCTCCCCCGGTCTGGGCGTCACGTCCTTCACCGTCTCCTCCGTCTCCCCCCCAACTCGTTCGGCCTCAGTGAGCTCCTTAGTATTGGCTCCTGGCTCCCATCTGCAGTCCCACGATCCGCCCGCGTGCTCGCTGCCGCGTCTGCGTGGCGAACGGCCTCTCTCGCTCTTCCCCGTGACGGACCTCGGGGATGGGCGGGACCTTTGGAGGCACTTCGTGCGCATGGACAGATGCACGGCGCTCTCAATGCTCTAGCGACCAAGAGCGTCTCGCCACAATGCTGGGTGCGAGCATGCTCGATTGCCGAATTCCTCGAGCCATCCATGTCGGCGACGGCCCCACCACCGAGCGTGGATGCTGTGGCCTGGCGTGCTGCAGCGACGGCAGCCGACGCCGAGATCATGGCGGCGACGCAGGACGCCCGCCGCCCTCGCCCTCAGCGCATCCTTTCCCGTCACCTCGCCTCGTCTCTTTTCCCCGATGCCCCCCCCTCCCTGCTCCATCGGCGTCTCTCCGTCTGGCTCCCGAGGGGTGACCTTCCAGCAGCCCCCGAGCTGCACAAGCGCTGGGAAGCCCTCCGCGCTGTCCTCTCCCGCACCCCGCCGTCCTGGGCGTGGGCCCACCTTAAGACCCTGGCGGGGGCCTGAGACATCCTCACAAAACGGGCCCCGGGGGGGATGCCCAGAGGAGCCCAGAGCGGCCTCCGGCACCGTTTCCCGGATCCGCTGGATCCGCTGGATCCGCTGGATCCGCTGGATCCGGTGACGAATCCCAAACCGGCGCCCTCGCCTGAGACATCCTCACAAAACGGGCCCCGGGGGGGATGCCCAGAGGAGCCCAGAGCGGCCTCCGGCACCGTTTCCGGACGGATCCGCTGGATCCTGGATCCGCTGGATCCGCTGGATCCGGTGACGAATCCCAAACCGGCGCCCTCGCCTGAGACATCCTCACAAAACGGGCCCCGGGGGGGATGCCCAGAGGAGCCCAGAGCGGCCTCCGGCACCGTTTCCGGACGGATCCGCTGGATCCGCTGGATCCGCTGGATCCGCTGGATCCGGTGACGAATCCCAAACCGGCGCCCTCGCCTGAGACATCCTCACAAAACGGGCCCCGGGGGGGATGCCCAGAGGAGCCCAGAGCGGCCTCCGGCACCGTTTCCGGACGGATCCGCTGGATCCGCTGGATCCGGTGACGAATCCCAAACCGGCGCCCTCGCCTGAGACATCCTCACAAAACGGGCCCCGGGGGGGATGCCCAGAGGAGCCCAGAGCGGCCTCCGGCACCGTTTCCGGACGGATCCGCTGGATCCGCTGGATCCGCTGGATCCGGTGACGAATCCCAAACCGGCGCCCTCGCCTGAGACATCCTCACAAAACGGGCCCCGGGGGGGATGCCCAGAGGAGCCCAGAGCGGCCTCCGGCACCGTTTCCGGACGGATCCGCTGGATCCGCTGGATCCGCTGGATCCGGTGACGAATCCCAAACCGGCGCCCTCGCCTGAGACATCCTCACAAAACGGGCCCCGGGGGGGATGCCCAGAGGAGCCCAGAGCGGCCTCCGGCACCGTTTCCGGACGGATCCGCGGATCCGCTGGATCCGCTGGATCCGCTGGATCCGGTGACGAATCCCAAACCGGCGCCCTCGCCTGAGACATCCTCACAAAACGGGCCCCGGGGGGGATGCCCAGAGGAGCCCAGAGCGGCCTCCGGCACCGTTTCCGGACGGATCCGCTGGATCCGCTGGATCCGCTGGATCCGCTGGATCCGGTGACGAATCCCAAACCGGCGCCCTCGCCTGAGACATCCTCACAAAACGGGCCCCGGGGGGGATGCCCAGAGGAGCCCAGAGCGGCCTCCGGCACCGTTTCCGGACGGATCCGCTGGATCCGCTGGATCCGCTGGATCCGGTGACGAATCCCAAACCGGCGCCCTCGCCTGAGACATCCTCACAAAACGGGCCCCGGGGGGGATGCCCAGAGGAGCCCAGAGCGGCCTCCGGCACCGTTTCCGGACGGATCCGCTGGATCCGCTGGATCCGGTGACGAATCCCAAACCGGCGCCCTCGCCTGAGACATCCTCACAAAACGGGCCCCGGGGGGGATGCCCAGAGGAGCCCAGAGCGGCCTCCGGCACCGTTTCCGGACGGATCCGCTGGATCCGCTGGATCCGGTGACGAATCCCAAACCGGCGCCCTCGCCTGAGACATCCTCACAAAACGGGCCCCGGGGGGGATGCCCAGAGGAGCCCAGAGCGGCCTCCGGCACCGTTTCCGGACGGATCCGCTGGATCCGCTGGATCCGGTGACGAATCCCAAACCGGCGCCCTCGCCTGAGACATCCTCACAAAACGGGCCCCGGGGGGGATGCCCAGAGGAGCCCAGAGCGGCCTCCGGCACCGTTTCCGGACGGATCCGCTGGATCCGCTGGATCCGGTGACGAATCCCAAACCGGCGCCCTCGCCTGAGACATCCTCACAAAACGGGCCCCGGGGGGGATGCCCAGAGGAGCCCAGAGCGGCCTCCGGCACCGTTTCCGGACGGATCCGCTGGATCCGCTGGATCCGGTGACGAATCCCAAACCGGCGCCCTCGCCTGAGACATCCTCACAAAACGGGCCCCGGGGGGGATGCCCAGAGGAGCCCAGAGCGGCCTCCGGCACCGTTTCCGGACGGATCCGCTGGATCCGCTGGATCCGGTGACGAATCCCAAACCGGCGCCCTCGCCTGAGACATCCTCACAAAACGGGCCCCGGGGGGGATGCCCAGAGGAGCCCAGAGCGGCCTCCGGCACCGTTTCCGGACGGATCCGCTGGATCCGCTGGATCCGGTGACGAATCCCAAACCGGCGCCCTCGCCTGAGACATCCTCACAAAACGGGCCCCGGGGGGGTGCCCAGAGGAGCCCAGAGCGGCCTCCGGCACCGTTTCCGGACGGACGACCTGACTGCATAACACGCCTGGATATGCCGACGGGGGCGAGGAGGAGGAGGAGGAGGAGGAGGAGGAGGAGGAGGAGGAGGAGGAGGAGGAGGAGGAGGAGGAGGAGGGGGAGGGGGCAGGCGAGGGAGCCCCGGCCCTGGGGGAGGGGCCCTGAGGGAGCCCTGATGGGCTTCCGGCACCATGGAGAGGTCCTGTGGGGCGGCCGCCCCTTCTTCTCTCGGTCGTTTCCCTCTCGCCCAGAAGCGCGCGCCCCTTCTTCTATATATACAGAAACTCCCGATCAACCGCAGAGCGGCGGATGTTATCCACGTCAGCGATGCCACCAAATTATAGTCCTCAGTTTTCACATATATCACAAACTGAAAGCTGACCTTTCCTTGCGCCGTCGGCCCCCGACGCCACTATACCACTGCGAAATCCGAGCCGCCGCACTCGCTGCTATGTGCATCTAGTGCACAGGTCACCACGAACCGCCTCAGGTTACGTGCGCTCTCTTCCTCCTCCTCCCTCCTCCCCGTCCCTCCATCATCCTTTCCCGTACCCTCCTCTTCCTCTCTCCTCCGTCCTGCTCCTGCCATCCCTTCTCCTGCAAGACAGTTCCTTCTCGTCGCACTGCCAGGCGCTTCGCTTGGACATTCCCCGCCGCTTACGTATGACTATGAAGCTAGGATTTCCTAAGAGTTACATGGATGGAGGATGGTGCGTGGATTTCAAAATCTGGCCTTCGCCCGAGCGCCGCGCACATTCGTCCATGTTGGCCACACTTGCAAGGATGGAGTGCGTGCCGCTTTCAACAATATGTGGCGCTCGCTAAAGCGTCATGTTACATTCGTTTTGAACGCAATTGACAAGTGCAAGGGTAGAGGGGCGGCTCCCTTTCAAGACGGGGCTGTCGCTTGAGATCTCAGCAGCACTGGTGGCTGGGCGTGTGAGATTGGGCACGTGTTCGGCTCTTTTTCGCACTCGGCCTCTCGGTGGAGACGTCCTCCAAACTTGGGCCAGGGCTCCCTTTTAGAACGGGGCTTTTGCTGGGCGTTTCCTTGGATTTTGTGCTCGTAGCCTCTCGCGCACCTTGCATCTAGAAGGACGCAGGGCAACTTCTTCTCCAAGACGCGGCTCTCGCATGAATTGGCAGGGCCATGGGGCGCTCGTGTTTCGAGAGGGACGCCGAAAGAAAACAAACAAATCCAAGCCCCAAGAGGCCGCCGTTGTCCAAGAGGAGCACAGGGCCGTTGAGACATGGTGGTGGTCCTCAGTGGTCGTTGGCCTGGTGACTCGCCGCCGTCGACGGAGACCAGGGAACCGCGAAGGCGACTGCACGTGCACAGTCGAGCGCCAAGGACTGATTCCCGATGTCCGCCTGGGCCTCCTCGAACTGCTCCTCTAGCGCCTCGAGTCTCTCGATCGAGCGCCGTGGCGCAGACTCGGCCTGGTCAGGCTGCTATTCTGGCTGCTTCCGCTTGGGCATCACTGTCTGCTAGGACCTTCCCGCGCTCATTGAGCTTGGTATCTGCCAATGTCTCGCTGACTCGAGATCGCCACTAGCCGTGAGGAGGGCGACGAGGGTCCCGTCGCTTGCAGCCCTGGGCAGGGGGTGGGGCAGGGTTCAGGCCGGAGTGCGAAGGACTCAGGTCGGCCACGCTGGGATGGGCCAGCGCTGCGTGGCGACTGGCGCCCACGAGCCTGGCCCGTTTCAGCTTGGCCGACGCCCGGCGCCCGTAGCGAGGACGCGGAGGCGGCTCCCGGGGCGCGAGATGCCCTCTGCCGTGCTGGGGCCACTCCCACAGGCCCGGATCATCATGGTGGGCGCATCCAGTAAGCAACTTGCCTGCCTGCAGACGCCCCCACAGACGTTTCCTGTCCCCCGAGGGCCCTTGCGGACCCACATCGGCACATGAGCACCTCAGGACGCTCGAAGACCGACGCCGAGAGTGCGTCTTCCCTCATCGTAAGATTAAGTCGGGCCTGTCCCTCTACAAGAGGAGTATTCAAAAATGGTAAAACAATAGTCTGGGGACTGTTTTGTTGACTATTTCTCAGCATTCTGGGAGTGTTTTTTTTGTGTGAGCATTTTGAAGTTTTCGCCCAGAATCCCCCTGTAGGGGGACACGCCCGACCTCATCGTAAGACACCTTCGCGTGCGTGCCCACCGCGCCGCACCGGGCGGCATGGAAGGCCCGCTGCCGCCGCCACGGCGGGGAGCGCGGGCTCGCTCCGCGTAGCCGGCGATGGTCGCGAAGATGCGGGGAGGGGGCGCAGTTCGGTATCGGTTAGCCGATCCCCTTCCCCCATCCCCTACAGGGGGATAATTCAGAACAGGTCAAAACATACGGTTTGGGTCTATTTTCGAATATGTTTCAGCATCTTTGATGTATTTTTTTGACTATTTTTAATTTTCCGTCCGAAATGCGGCTGTAGGGCCCACACTGTAGGGGGACATGCCTGACCTAACGGTATGGTTTAACCACTCCCCATCCCCATCCCCTTCGAGACCCCCACCAAATTACCGCCCCAGTTGGGGGCACGCCGCTCGAAGCCCGAAGGGAACGACCTACATCCCCATCTAGGTTGGCAAATCGGCCAGGGGGACCCAGGCCACGCCGCTTGGGATGGGGATCGGTTGAACGATACTCAGTAGTTTACGGGACCAGCACCTCGCAACCGGGAGAAGAAATGGGCCACCCCAGACTTGCGAGGTCACACGTTCGGGGTCCTTCTCTATCCGATCCATCCGGTCCGATGGCGATTCGGGCCAGTCCGATCCGCTTCGGTTCCGATGCTCTGGCGGTCTCGTGCGGCCGGATGCTCACATGGTGTCGACGTGCATCCTGGCGCTGGCTCCGTGCCGATGCGGCTGGCCCGATGCACATGCCAGTCCGATACACAGTAAATCCCCCGCGGCGGATCCAGGCCATTTGCGGGTAATTACTTTGCGAGTGGTGGAACGCGCGTGTCTACAGGCACAAGTCCACCTATGGGGCGGGTGGCCACCCGGGCTGGGCGTGTAAGGCGGGCAGCTCTGGGGCTCGAAGTAAGCGCATGGACGAGAAGGAGAGCGACCGCCTGCTCGGACTCTGCCTCCAGCCTGGGGCCACCATCGCGCTCATCCCTCCGTCCCACCCTCCTCTCCTCTCCCGCCTCCTCCGTCCCCTCCCCCCTCAAGGAGCAGCCAAGTACATAACATAAGCATAAACTTTCGGAGTGCCGCGCGGACTTGTTGGATCGGCGCTGGACCTCCCGTGACCTCCCGTGGCCGCGCGGAGCGGCGCCGCGGCCGCCGCCAGTGGACCCCGCAGCGCCGATCCAAGAAATCCGCGCGGACCTCTGGAAGTCTACGGTCATGCCATGTAGCGTTTCTCTGCCCCCTCTCCCCTCTCCCTCTCCCCCAGCCTCCCCCCTCCCCCCTCCCCCACTCTCCCCTCAACCAACCTCCCCCTCTCCCCTAACCTCTCTCCCTCCTCCCCCCTCCTCCCTTCTCCCTCCGCTCCTCCCGTCCCCCGCGCCGCGCCGCGCCGCGGCCGTTCCCGCCCGTCGGGCGGAGGCCTGCCGGCGCGACGAAGAGGAGGAGGAGGAGGAGGAGGAGGAGGAGGAGGAGGAGGAGGAGGAGGAGGAGGAGGAGGAGGGTCCGTAGCCATTTTGGCTCAAGCCATTTTGGCTCAAGTCCGTAGCGTCGGCTCAGGATTTGTGTGCCTTTGTGGCGTGGGGGAGTTGCGGCCCCCGACTGCTTACAAACTACTACACGCCGTGTACTGTGCGGGAAACCGCTCTCTGTGTCCTCACCATTACGGTGCAGTCATGGCTCCAGCTGGGGCTCCTGATTTCTCTCGTTGGGCTTGCGGCCACAAGAAGTGCGGTTACCAGTATAACTACAGTTGGCGGAAAAATTGCTTCAGATGCGGTCGCTCAGCAGGGCGGCAACCCGATGTATCCTTCGGCAATGGCAGTGGCAATCGTGATCTGGGCGCGTGGGCTAAGGGGCCTCCGTCTGGGCAGCAGCTGTCCTTGTCCGAGGAGCAGGTGCAGATCTATGCGAGGATGGGCTCGTCCGACTTCGAGCAGTTGGCGGAAGGATGGCCCACCAAGCAGCTCAACCGTGTGTTGGCGCAGCGTGCGTTGCTCAATGGAGAGCCTCGTGCATCTGCCAAGGCTGCTCGCTTGGATCAAGATTTGTATGAAGACAAGAAGTCCAAGGCTCAGCGCGCCTTGGATCGTGCGAATGATGCGGTGTTCAAAGCGGTGGCTCATGCAGCGAAGTGCAAAAAGGACCTGGAAGTTGCCGAGGCAGCTGCCAAGGCTGCTTCAGCCAGGGCCGCTGCTGCCTTTGCTGCCATGGGCCAGGCGGCCGAGCCTGCCGACCCGCTCGAGCAGCTCAAGCAGCTGGTCGCCTCGCTCGCCGCCGTCAAGGAGAATCCCAAGGCTGCCGAGGTCGCCGACGCCCTCAGCAACCTCGTGCCCGTGCTACGCGAGGCGGTTCCCACGGCTGCTGAGCCTGCTGGCGGTGCTCAGCCACCTGAGCCTGCGGCCCCTGGAGGGGGGCGTGGGCCCGAGGCCGCGCAGGCTCCGCCAGGTGATGCTGGGGAACCCGCCATGGAGGTCGACAGTGGCGCCGCAGCTGCCGTCGCTGCTGAGCGTGCCGCTGCAGCCGCCCAGCAGCAGGAGTTCTTGGACTACCTCCAGCAGGCGCAAGCAGGAGATACGCCTGAGATGGTTCAGCTCATGGAGAAGCATGGGGTCAAGCACGAGCTCATGGCAGACATCTTCAACAACGTCAGGAACCAGGCGCTCAAGAAGCTGCGCGTGGACGGCGGAGACTTGGCCGAGGGCAAGGCAGCCGCTGGCGCAGAGGGCTCGGGTGCGCCTGGCTCCTAGCTCGTGGCACATGATCAGCAGCAACGTCACAGGGCTCGTCGGCCTCGAGGCGTTGATCAAGCACAGTGAGGTTAAGAGTGCCCAGTTTGTCGCGGTGCAAGAGCACCATCAGGTTGACACCTGCGCTTCCTGGGAAAGTAAGTTGCGGAAAACAGGCTGGCGTGGCAGGATGGAGCCTGCCGTCAGCACGGGGCGCGGCGTGGGCACCAGTGGTGGTATACTGCAAATGGTTCCCATCGCCCAAGGACTCGCCCCAGTCGATCTTATCCCTCCTTCTATCAGTGGTGGCAGGGCTGTGGCTTTGCACACTCCTGGAGTTGTGCCTGGAGGGTTCTTGTGGATCACGCTCTACCTGCATGACAGCGAGCAGCTCTCGCCCAGGAATTGGCAGATACTGGAAGCTGTCGGTGCAGTGCTTAAGGTTGCGAACATGCCGTACATTGTGTGCGGCGACTTCAACATGACGCCCGATATATTGTCTGGATCAGGATGGCCTGAAGCCATCGATGGTGTGGTGCTGGCGCCAACAGCCGCCACTTGCACCAGCTCGTCCGAGTCTGGCGGAAAAGTCTTGGACTACTTCGTGGTGTCGGCGTCCTTGCAGTATGGTGCCACTGTGCAGGCCATCGTCGATGCGGGCACCACGCCCCACATGCCTGTCAAGCTCACGCTCTGCTCGACCACGCTGATGGACTTCGGCTACAGGGTCGCGCGCATCCCGAAGAGGTTTCCCGTCGACATCCCCATGGGCTGTCGCGTGCGCGATCCTGCGCAGCTCTGGATCGACGCTGAGTTGGACATGATGGAGACCACCGTGGATGGCAAGTGGCGGCGCTGGGTTGCTGCTGCAGAATTGGACCTGGCCGACGTCTACGGCATCGTGCCCGCCGAGTCGCCCGAGTACTTCGGCCGTAGTGAAGGGCCCCAGTTCGCCTGGAAAAAGCCTGCTCTGCCCAAGGACCTTGCCTACCCCAGGCTGTCCCCTCGCTCTCTCTGGTGGCGTCTTCTCGCCAGGGTCTTCTGGGGTCTGAGTCGCTGGCAGCCGGCGCCGCTGAGAGCTTCAACACTGCGTCTCGCTCGCCAGGTCCAGGCTAAAGTAAGCACAGCGGGCATAGACCCTGGCTCGACCCTAGTTAGACCCTGGCTCGAGTTGTTAGGGCTTGCTAAGTATCTATCTTACGAGCTGGCAGCAGTTGCAGCGACTGCCATCAAGAAGCTCGCCGATTCAGAATTTCGCAATGCAGAGAAATCGAAGAAGGATGGCTGGCGTGCCTGGGTCAAGGAGCATAGTTTGAACGGCGGAGCTGCTCTATACGCGGTGTCCAAGCCGCCCGTCCCATGGCATGCCAGCTCTTTCGTTTGCAGTGAAGGGCAGGCTGTTAAGAAGCAGCCTGCTACTTTGCATCAGGAGATGGAGCTCCTCGAAGAAGAGTGGGGTCACTGGTGGCGTGTTGGTGTGCTGGAGGACTCCATCTCGTGGCCTCGGGATTTGGGTCCTCTTTTTCCCAGGCCCTCCCTTCAGGAGTTTAAAGAATGCATCAGGAGTTTTCCCACAAAATCGGGGTGCGGCTTTGACCAGATCACCCCAAGGCAGCTTTTGTCTTTGTCCGATGCTGGGCTCGTCCTGCTCATAGATCTCATTGAAGACATTGAGGCTGAATGTTGCTGGCCCCAGATCTGGACAAAAGTAGTGTTTCTCACCAAGCGTGATGGGGGCCTCCGCCCCATAGCGCTCATACACATTCTAGCGCGGATACAGGGGAGGCTTCGCCGTCCCATGATAGCTACGTGGCAACAGGCCAATCCGAGGCCCTATTGGTGGTCAGCCAAGGGGCGTAGTTCTGACAAATTGGTCTGGTTGCAGACCGCTGGGGCCGAGTGGGCCTCCGAGAGGCAGCTAGCCTCGGGCCTAATTCTTTTGGACCTCCAGAAGGCGTTCGAACACGTGCGGCACTCTCAGCTTGTCGCTGCGGCGCAGCGCACGGGGTTTCCGCTCCGCCAGTTGAAGCTTCTCGTCGAGCTCTATCGGTTGCCTCGGGTGCTGAGCTATAGCAATGCCGTGTCGTCGCCTCTGGAGGCGCAGCAGGCCGTATTGCCTGGCTGCCATTTTGCAACGCTGATGCTGCAATTAATTCTCATCGGTCCTGTCGACACTGTGGCCCAAGCGTTTCCCCACGTCACTCTTGGGGTCGTGGTCGATGATTTCGGCCTCCAGCGCATCGGTCGCGATCAGGACGTTGAGAAAGATTTAGTGGCTGCAACGGGCAAGCTTCATTCCGAGCTGAAAGGTGTGGCTCTGGTCGTTCACCGTGAGAAGGGTCGTGTCGTTGCGTCGTCCCCTTGTCTCAGAGATCGGATTGTGAAGCGAACCCGTAGGTTTAATCTCAAAGGGGTCTCTAGTGAAAGAAACCTCGGTCTCGATTTTGCTGCTGCTCGTATAATGCCTCTGGAGACTCGAAGGGCCCGCAGGGGACCTGCTGTAGCACGGGCTCGAAAGCTCCAGAGTTTCTCGAAGGAAGTTAAAAAGCGTCGTGTGCATCACATGGTACAGGCGGCCTGCCTTGCCTCTCTCAAGTACGGAGGCACTGTGTATGGAACGAACAATACTGATTTACGTGTGGCCCGTGCGTTACAGGCGCATGTACAAGTACAAAGCTTGTCGGGCCGCAGCGTGACCTTGTTGCTTATGCTAGCCGAGGCGCCAAAATGCGACCCGTCTTATCGTCTCAACATCGACCCGCTCAGCATGTATGCCACCGCGGTTTGGGACGGTCTTTTGCCGCGTAGGCTGCTCGAGCAAGGTCTGACTACTGCTGTGCACCGTCTGCAGCACAGCGGCAACCCATGGGCGAGCGTCAGAGGTCCCTTCTCGGCTTGTGCCGCCACAGCTCTTCGGCTCGGTCTCGTCATCCAGGGCTTTGTCTGGCGGCATGCCGTGCTAGGAGAGATTTCGGTGCTTGATTTTGGACCCCGCTCGGTAGCCATGTGGTTGATGCGTGTTGTTGATTTCTGGCTGTGGGCCAAGGTCTCGGTTCGAGAGGCTGCGCCAGAATTAATTCAGGGATGTAACATGAACCCGCTGGTGGCGCTGGTAAATGGCTCCACACTTCTTCCGCTTGAGCGGGGCTATATTAAGTCAGTTGTCTCCGGAGGCCAATGGCCTCAGCACAGGCAATGGGAGTGTGGGCTTTCAGACTCGGCCGAGTGTAGAGCGTGCATGTGTGCTCCGTGCACGTTGGCGCACAGACACCTCTCGTGTGCTGCGCATGAGCAGAGCATGGGTGCCGACCAGATCCCTGGGTATCTCAGCTCGCTCGCTCGTGCTGCTGCTCACCCTCTTCCTCGCCTCTTTGCTGAGAGGTTGCTTGTGCCTGATGCCCCCCTCCCCGCCTCTTCCACCGTCCCGGATCGGTGGTTTTCGGGTGGACCCGCAGAGATGGGTGGCCACGTCTTCTTGGACGGCAGCTGGATGGACCAGCACCTGCCCGCCCAGGCGCAGACGGCAGGATGGGCCATTGTCTCTTTTTGTCGTCGTCGTCACAGAGTGTTGTCGGTGATGTGTGGCGTTCTCAGCCAGATCGTCATAGACATTGATGCCGCGGAGCTCGCTGCTTTGTTGCGAGGTCTCCAGCATTGCGCTCCAGGCACCTGTTTCTACACTGATTCTGACTTTGTGTATTCTGGGGTCATGGTTCGGGGAGAGCGGGCCTGCTGCTCCAGCAAAAGCGCCTGGTCCGAGCTGTGGCGAATGGTGTGGGCTCGGATTCGTGACTGGGGTGGGGTTTCTGCTTTTACTTTGGTGAAGGTGCGGGCCCACACCACTCGCGTTAGTGTAGTCAGCGAGTCGGTCTCTCCAGCTCTGCGGCGTCGGCTCATGTTTCTCAAGCTTGGAAACGATGAAGCCGACTCCTGGGCAAAGTGGTCGGCCGATAGAATTCGCATCCCTCAGGAGCTTCGGGACGCCCGAAAGAAGAAGGCCCAAGTTCTGAAGGATTATGCGATCTGGTGTGCTCGAGTTGGCTCTCAGTTAGCCGATTATGATTCCCTCCATGTGCCGCCCCGCTTGCGAGTTCCGAAGGTTCGTGGTCCCGTCGTCGTCGTGGATCCCCCTCCTCCCACTCGCACCCCTCGAGCTCTGGCCAAAGCTGATGCAGCTGCGGTCAGAGTTGCGCTGGCGGGTGGGCGTCGGCATGTGGTGCATCCGTTTAAGCTTGCCGATGGGCCCTGGTGTGCCGTCTGTGCCGTGTGTGGACATGGTGGAGCCACGATTTCTTCGAATCTCAGCTCGGAGTGTCCAGGCAGGCCGCCCCCTGGGTCCCATGGAGCCCGTGTTTTGCAAAATCTTGGCCGTGACCCGTCACGGTATTCTTTTAACAAGAAATGGCATATTCTTGTTCAGCCGTTCAGAACGGGTGAGCTGATCAGGGCAGGTGAAACCTCGTCAGCCACCCTGTCATAACCCGTTCGGCTTTTCCAGCCTCGTGTTACGAGGCCTTGCTGGGCGGTGGCGCAAGCGGCAACCCGATCAAAGGGGGTCAGCGCCGTCCGTCCCAGCCGTCGTGCGCGCAGGCAGATTCATGCTCGCGCCAGGCTGTGCCCAGGAGGAGGAGGAGGAGGTGGAGGAGGAGGAGGAGGAGGAGGAGGAGGAGGGGGGGGAGGAGGAGGAGGAGGAGGAGGAGGAGGAGGAGGAGGAGGAGGAGGAGGAGGAGGAGGGAGGGAGGAGGAGGAGGAGGAGGAGGAGGAGGAGGAGGAGGAGGAGGAGGAGGAGGAGGAGGAGAGGAGGAGGAGCGGAGGAGGAGGAGGAGAGGAGGAGGGGAGGAGGAGGAGGAGGAGGAGGAGGAGGAGGAGGAGGAGAGGAGGAGGAGGAGGAGGAGGAGGAGGAGGAGGAGGAGGAGGAGGAGGAGGAGGAGGAGGAGGGGGGCGAGGAGGGCGAGGAGGAGGAGGAGGAGGAGGAGGAGGAGGAGGAGGAGGAGGAGGAGGGCAGCAGGAGGAGGAGAAGGGAGAAGGGAGAAGCGAGGAGGAAGGAGGAGGCAGGAGGAGGAGGAGGAGGAGGAGGAGGAGGAGGAGGAAGAGGCAAGGAGGAGGAGGAGGAGGAGGAGGCAGGACGAGGCAGGGCTGGGGGAGGGGGGTCGGCGGCGAGCAGGGAGGCGGGAGGAGGCAAGCAGGGGGCGGCGCGCATGCGTCAGGGGCAGCGATGGGGGATAGGGGAAACGTTCGCGTTTTCGTCGGCCTTCGGCGGCTTTCCATGCCTCGGGATGCTCTCCAGCAGCTGCGCCTCGCCAAGAGCGTTAACCGACGAAATCCGCGCGGACCCACGAAAGTTTCTGTTTAAGGAAGGAGTTGTTATATTAGAAAGAGCGTGTTCTACCGCTGCTGGCGGAAAACCGAGGGTGGGTCACTACCGGTTCGAACCCCTCCCCCCCACCCGGAAAGCCGGGGGGGGTCACTACCGGTTCGAACCCCTCCCCCCCCAGTCCATCATGAAAAGGGGGGGGGTCACTACCGGTTCGAACCCCCCCCCCCTCGAAAACCGAGGGGGTCACTACCGGTTCGAACCCCCCCCCCCGTTCGAAAACCGAGAGAGGTTCGGACAGTGGTGGGGACGGTGGTGGTGGGGACAGTGGTGAGGGGACAGCGGGAGAGTGGTGGGGATAGTGGAACAGTGGTGGGGACGGTAGTGGTGGGGACAGTGGTGAGGGCAATGGTGGGAACAGCGGGGACAGTGGACAGTGGTGGGGACGGTGGTGGTGGGGACAGTGGTGTTGGGGACAGTGGGAATGTGGTGAAAACAGTGGGACAGTGGAGGGTACAGTGGTGGTGTGGACAGTGGTGAAGAGGCGGTGGCGAGGACGGCGGTGGGACAATTGGACAGAGGTACAGTGGGGACAGTGGTGAGGACGTTGGGGACAGTGGTGGGAACAGTGGGACAGCTCAGTGGGACAGCGGAGGAGTAAGTGGGACAGTGGGGACAGTGGGGATAGTTGGGCAGTGGTTGGGGCCGTGGAGAAAGTGGGGAGAGTGGAACTGTGGTGGGAACAGTGGTGGGGACAGTGGGGACAGTGCGACAGTGGTGGGGAGTGGGGACAGTGGTGGTGAGGACAGCGGTGCTGGGAACAACAGTGGGGGATGTGGTGCGGACGGTGGTAGGGACCGGGAGTCGTTTGCTGGCGGTGAGGGGGGGGGGAGGGGTTCGAACCGGTGTGACCCCCCTCTGGTTTTCGAGGGGGGGGGGGGGGGTTCGAACCGGTAGTGACCCCCCCGGTTTTCGAGGGGGGGGGGGGGGGGGGGGGAGGGGTTAGGGGAGCGGGGGGGTTTTGGGGGGGGAGGGGAGGGGGGGTGGGGGGGGGGGGGGGTCCAGCAGGGGGGGGGATTTTCGGAGGGGGGGGGGGACCCCCGGGTTCCAGAGGAAGATGGGGAATTTTCCACAGTAAAGCGGCGTTGGATCACGCTCTCTCGGATATTTTCATTATTGTTATGATTGTTAGTCGTATAATTCTTATTCTTATCATTATTATTATTATTGTTCTTCTTATTATTATCATTATTATCCTTATTACTATTACTATTATTATTAGTATTATTAGTATTATTATTATTTTGAATTGATTATCATTATTATTCGAATTGGAATTATTTCTTGTATTCTTATTACTCATTTTATTATTGGTATTGTTATTTTTAGTATCATTAGTATTATCAGCATTATTCGTAATATTATCAATGTTATTATTATTGTTATTACTGTTATTTGGATTATTTTCATTATTCTGGTTCCTCTCAAGGGGGGTGGCGCGAGGGGGGGGCTTCGAAGAAGGGAGGGCAAGCCCCCCAGGTCCTTCTGAGAAGGCCCCTGCCTTATCAGACGCCCCCCTGCCTTCTTAGAAGGCCCCCTCTCCTTCGCGCCAGCGCCGCCGAAATGAGAGCTCACTACCAGGGGTGTTACCAACTCCTTGTGCAAATCGAGGTTCCAGGATCGAGTCTCGAGAAGGTTTTTGGGCGTCTCGGACCGTTTTGGAGGTCTCTGGAATGTTCTTGGGGGCCCACTTCCTAGAGGAAATGCCGTTTCCTCGAGGGAGTGGCGACCTCCCTAGTGATGGCCTCCCTTGGCACTGCCCAAGGATGGGGGGATGCAGGCGGAGGCCTCGCCCGATTTCCCACGATCTGACGTTTCCAATGCTGGCGGTGTTCCCCGACTCGATGTCGGGCCCCAGGGCCATCCAGCGCGGATCCAGGACGAAAGACCACTCCGAATGTCAAAATAATGGGGGTGGTCTGATTGGGTGGGGGTCAGATTTGAGCTATCTTGGAGGGTTCCAGAGGGGTCTGGGCAAAAGACCGCCCCTCCATGGTTGATCTGGGAGGCTCCTGACGTTGCCCGTCTGGGAGGGTTGCGACCCCCTCCCTTCTAGTACGAAGTGTGGAGCACGGTCGGACCGAGGTACAAGATCGAGGTCGCCCCGGGGAGAGCACCCTCAGGTTCTTCGTGCCTGTTGGATGCTCCTGTGCATCCGGGGGGGGAGGGCACCCCCGAGGGATCCTACGGCCTGGTGGGTGCTTCGGCCGGCGGAGGGCCTCATGTCCTCGAAGGAGGCGCAGCTGTCCCGGGTCCGACCGCAGCCCTGGCGGACCGCGCGCCGCCCGCGCGGCGAGGGCTACGGTCGGACCGAAGAGGGCCCCGCCGCGGCCGCCAGCAGGAGGCTTTCGGGGGCAATCGCATGGGGGGGAACACGACTTGAGGTTTTTGGGCGGCTTCGTCGCTTCTTGTTTGTTTCCAGGCGTCGGGGTGCCTTCGGCAGCTGCGCCTGGCCGAGCGTCCTGGGGCGGAACGGCCGCCAGAGAGAGCCGAGCTGTGATTTGGAAGCCAGGGGGCAAGGTTAGGGGAGAGAGGCTCATGGTGTGAATGCATTGACCCCCACTTGCCCACTGATCGCCGATAGGGGCCCATAGCGCATCCCGCCCAGGACTGCGTTTTTGCAGTCGAAGGCTTATCGCCGATCTAGCCGCGACCACATTTTGAAAACGACTGGCCCTCCGTCCTTGTAACTAAGACGTGTGTGCGCAGCGCTGAGGCGAGAGCAGCATTTTGAAAGCGACCAGCCTTCCATCCCTATAGCTGTTGGAAACTTTGATGACGATTGTGCGCGTCGCTGCGGAGAGATCCGCATTTGAAAACGACCAGCCCTCCATCCTTGTAATTGTTAGATGTGTTTACGACGAATGTGCGCTGCACTGAGGCAAGCGCCGCACTTCGAACAAAAACCACCGGCCCCCCATTGCGACTGTTGGAATTTGTTCTTCAGGAGAATAGTTTCAAAGGGGATCTCAGGTTGAACGCCCAGCCCAGCCTACGAACACGTCTTGTGGTGCGACAGAGGAGGAGGTGGAGTATGATGATGAGGAGGAGGAGCAGGATTAGGAGAGGAAGAGGAGGAGGAGGAGTAGAAGGAGGAGGAGGAGGAAGAGGAGGAGGAGGAAGAGGAGTTGGATAGGGGTATAGAGGAAGAGGGAGGAGGAGGAGGAGGAGGAGGAGGTGGAGGAGGAGGACGAGGAGAAGCACAAGGAGGAGGAGGAGGAGGAGAAGGATGATGTTAAGGAGGAGGAGGAGGAGATGTGTTTTTGTCTCTTTGTGGGCCAGGTGGCCTACAAACTGCAGTTGGTGCCCCCTTTTCCTGTGGGGCCTCCCCAGCGCCTCCTCCAGGCTGAGGGCTCCCTCCAGAGGCTGCTCAGGACTCTCTCAGGACTCAGCAGGCTCCCAATTTCCCCCGAGTGCACGGAAGTTCGGGATTCCGTACTTTTCCATTGAATCTTGCTCCGGTAGCGCCTCTATTCAACACAGCCCAAAAGGGCCCCAAAGAGGTGCCGCATCCGCATTGTCTCAAGACAGGAGTGGTTCGAGTCTGGAATCCGTCCACACATATTGAACATCCATTGCGTTCCCTGGCCTTGCTGATGAGACTGGTTCTCCTGACGGGTGCGTTTTGCCTAGCGCGTACGCGCGCGCTGAACTGGCCAAATGCCGTGAACGATGCATCGCGCGTCCCCGTATCGCAGCTGATCGCCGCATCGACGTTGAAGTCCGCGGAAATCACAGGCCTGACCTGCACGGCGATTAGCGAGTATGCTCCCGACACCGGCGCTCCCTTGGTTTGCAGCAATGTCTTCGTGGACAGCAGCGACATTGCAGCACCTGGCGATGGCTCATACGTTTGGGCAGCGGACAACGAGGGGGCATCGGACAAGCTGGGAGGCTGCGTAGGGATATGGATCGAAGTGACGTTGCCAGACGAATATACCGTGGACATTGTCACTATTCGCCAACGGTATGCGCCCCTCGATCAGGGCGACGAGATGGACGTGGCGCTGAAGTCTACCAGCGGCGCAGTACTGTCGACGCAGCACATTACTTTCACAGACGTCGGCACGAGCAACCCGCTGGAGGAGGCCTTCTCGCTAACGCCCACTGCTGGTGTAAAGTCGATCCGTTTTACTTTCACCAAGGCGGACACAGCTAGCTGCGGTAGTGATGGTGGTTTCTTGGGAGCGAAGCGCATCAAAGTCTACGGGACGGCGGCGGCGACAGCTTCTTCTTCTTCGTCTTCTTCTTCTTCTTCTTCATCTTCCTCAGGCGAAGGGATCTCCCTGATGACCGAGCTTGCGGAAGAGGTACTCAGCAACGACGAGGTGGTCTTGCCCAATCCTTGGGACGTCGTCGTCAACACCCCATCCGACAGGGACGTGGGCACCGTCACGGAGCACGCTTTCGCGCCAGCTTACGAGCTCGAGGCCAGCGACGCAGAACATCGGATTCGATTGTCCCGACGTTCGCGCCTAAGCTGCCCGCGTAAGGTCGCGCGTAAGCGCCCTCGCTTCCGATGTAGCGTGCCGCGCTGGTGGCCCGCGTATGCCGACGCGTAAGTTTGCCGTGCCATCGTGTAAGACTCAAGTCGGGCGTGTACCTCTAAAGAATGAAAGTTCAAAATAGTAAGCATTTTGTCTAGGGGCGATGTTGCTATTGTTTGACTATGTCTTGGAATGCGTTTGACTATGTTTGATTTCTCTTCTAGAATCCGCATGTCGGGAGACATGACCGACCTAACGTAAGACCCGTTTCTTTTCGCCGCTAAGGTCGTTCCGGACTCTCTCGAGACCGCAGCTGAGCAGAGCGGAGGTGCACCCACGATTGCTATCCGCAGGATCCTTGTCGCGGAGACCAAGAACTCCACCCAACCGCCTCCGAGCTACCGTATGGGAGGCGTCGGGGGCCAGACCGTGAGGCACCTCAACGGCATGGAGAACCCGGCGGGTGCAACGACAGTGTGGGGTTGGCAACGGAACAGGTATTTTGCCCTGCAAGCCTGGATGGCCACGAAGGGCGATTCAGATCTGATGGCCGTCCATGCCAGTGGGGAAGTCTTGTTTGCTGGCTGCGACGAAAGCACCATCCTGTCTAAGTACAACCAGATAATCGCGGCTAACGGTGGCACCCAAACGATTGTCATAGCTGCCGAGGTGAGTCCTTTCCATGCGGACCTGGGGTATTATTACGATATCTCGACCGCTGGTTTGGATTCAACCAGGACTGGAGCCCTCTCGTATCTGAGTGCTGCTGCCGACTGGGCCACAACTTACGCCGCTTGCACATCTGGGGTTTGCAACAGCCCGCCCAAGTACCAGTTTGCCAACCCGGGTTTCATCATGGGCCCTGTCGCGGATATCGCAGAGATGCTTGCCGACATGCCAAAATGGGCGGACACAGAGAATCGATTGATCAACCAGTATCGGAGACGCGTGCAGCGAATCAACGCCGCCCCCTGCCTATCTGGAGCTGCCGATGTGGCTACACGTTGGGCGAAAGTTTGGCCAAGCTGTTGAACTATGTGTTCCCTCAGCTGGTGAGGAGACTGAGGAGGAATAGGAAGAGGATCAGGGAGAGGAAGAGCAAGAGGAGGAGGGAAAGGAGGAGGACGAGCATGAAGAGGAGGCGGAAGAGGAGGATTGAGCATTAGGGCTCCCGAGGCATGCTTAAAACACACTCAGCGTGTCAGATAACAGAGTAACTCCCTTCGCTTTCGGATGGAGACCCTTCAGTATCTTGTTCCACGCATCTGGATTGTATTTGCCTGGCGGACGGCCAGGACAGCTCTTGGCAAGTTCTGCCAGACGAGCTCCAGAGTTGTATCTCTTGCACTTCACGCAAACCACAACAAACCACCCGTTACTCGCGTCCAAGAGAATACACTTATGGTTTCGATCCCTGAGTTCAAGTACATTGATTCTGAGGGACCCTGAACAGTTGCCTGGCGGCGGGGACGTACTCGCATCATTTCGCGAGGTCCGCAAACGTCCTTGACAACACCAAAAACGCTGATCCCCGCCAGGAGGCCCCATCCACTCCCACTGATGGGGATTGGGGGCACCTCGTGGGGCAGGAGTGGTCGGAGACGACCACGCAGCACAGGAAAGGTCAGTGCGAGGCCAGAGCGGCAGCAGAGTGGCAGCGAATCTGACTGCGAGCTGGGCCGAATTAATGAGGTGGTCGCATTCTTCAGCCACCTCAGGCTCAGGCTGCGCGTGAGTGTCGGCACCCCACTTCGCAGCTCTGTCAGCAAACTCGTTCCCGAGCCGTCGAAATCGCTCGTCTTCGCTGATATCGGGGTCGTCGGGCGATAAATGAGTTTTGACCTTCTCACTCCCAAGCATCCATTTTCCGCCAGATAACCGACCCTGCAACGCGAGACCCGAGTATGGATGCTTGGGTGAGAGCTGCTCGCAACTCGGGAGGCCGTGCATTGAAACAACGTTCTGGCAGTCTGAGTAGAGCACTGTGGGACCAGATAGGACAGCTCCAGCCATCGCGAATGCAGCAAACTCGCCAGCCTGGGGAGTCTGCGGGCAACTGTCCCACACTGGCCCCCACATCATGGCGAGAAGATGCGAGCGAGGGCCTAACATAGCCAGCCCCCACCCCGATCTATTCGAGCTGCGAACAAGCCTGCGGGTGCATGACCCGTCGAGAAAAATGTGTCCCCACAGCTGCCTACTGTTTGTCTGTAGCATGACAATTCCTTCGGCCTCGAAGCCTTCAGGGTAAAACTGAACGTGCATTCCGTCGTCATCGTTGCCACTGTCGGCTTTGGGGGGTGGGATCACACATTCAGGGTGTCCAAACAAGCCAGAGATGAGATGGAAACGCTCGCGATCAGAAGATCTCCCATAACGTCGGATAAGATCCACCTGCCTCTGAGACTGCCGAACAAAGCCAAAGCCGGTGGAACAGAGTGCCCCCTGGTTCATGACATCGTAGCCTGCAGCTCGAGCACGAGCTAGCGGCCACAGTCCTTGGCAGGCGCAGCAACGCAGAGTTCCTTTCTGGCGCGCCGAAACACGTTTGGAACGGAGGGCTCTCGAGACGGCATCGAAATTTGAGGGCCTCCTGGGGCCTCTGGAGGGCCTTTGGGGGACCTCTGCGCGCCTCCACGGATCCTCTTGGCCATCGGATGCCGTCTTGAGGGCCTCTCTGGGCCATCTTGGTGTCTTCTTTTTAGGGCCGTCTTGGAGGGCTGTGGGATCGTACTGGGGCCGTCGTGGGGCCATCTTCGGGGCCTCAGGGGCCGTCTTCGATTATCGGGAGCCAGACAATGTGAGAACGCGACACCTCAGGAAAACCATACGCGAATCAATGATTTTGACCTCGTGGAGATTCTCTTGAAGCCCTCTTGGGGCGTCTAGAGGGCCTCTTGGGCCGTCTGGAGGGCATCTTGTGCCGTCTTGAAGAGCTTGGGCCGTCGTGGTGGCATCTTGGGCTCGCTTGAGACCTTTTTGCCGCCTTGCAGGCGTATTGGGACCGTCTCGGAAATAATCTTAGGTCAATTTCGTCGTCTTGGAGGCCTTGTTTGAGCCATCTTCTTCGGGAAAGGCAACGGGAGCCGGTTTTTATTGACGCTTCTGGCTTGTGGTTGGCGGGTTGTGCCGAGACCCCGCTGGGAACGTTTTGGAAGGGATCAAATGGCTAGTCTAAAGTTCGTCACGCCGTGCGCCTCTCTGCAAGCAGAAGGGGGCGGCGGATCGATGACGCCTACGGCGAATCACCCTGGCCCCCTGCTTCTCAGGATACGCCTACGTCGCCACACGTTTGGGCCGCGTTTGGCCACGCTATTGGACCATGCGTTCCCCCAGCCGTTGTGGAAGACCTCAGGGGAAAACGTAAGGGAGGAGGAGGAGGAGAAGGAGGAGGAGGAGGAGGAGGAGGACGACGACGAGGAGAGGAGGAGGAGGAGGAGGAGGAGGAGGAGGAGGAGGAGGAGGAGGAGGAGGAGGAGGAGGAGGAGGAGAGGGAGGAGGAGGAGGAGGAGGAGAGGAAGGAAACAGGAGATGAAGGGGAGAAGGATAAGGAGACCTCTTGAGAGCCTCTGGGGCCACTCTTCGGGCCACCCTGGGAGCTTCACGGGAGCCTTTTGGAGGTCTCTTGGGGGCCTCCTGGGGGCCTCCTGGGGGCCTTTGGGGCTTCTTGGGAGGCCTCTTCGGCTGTCTTACGGCGTTCCGGGTCCGTCTGACGCCGCCGAGAGCCGTCTTGGATGAATTTTTGGACCGACTTGGGACCCTCTTGGGGCGTTTCAGGGCCATCTTGGGAGATCATCTTGGGCGTCTTGGGGGTCTCTTAGGCCGTCCTGGGGCTCTCTTGGGGCCGTCTTGGAGGCTTCTTGGGCCGTCATGGATCTATCTTGGAGGCATTTGTGGCCATCTTGGGGCGATCTTCGGGGCCTATGGGACCGTCTTGGGCCGCCCGAAGGCCGAAAAGAAGCACATGCCAAATTCTGCCAACACCTACAGAACATCAATGGTTTTGGCTATTCGGGCCTTCCTGGAGGACCTCTTGGAGGCCTCTTACTCCATCTTCGCCACCTCTTAGGCGCTTCTGGGGCCGTCTTGGGCTCTCTTGGACAATTTTGGCGATATTGGAGGCATGTTTGGACCATCTTGGAGCTGATCTTTGGGTTATCTTGTGCTCTCTTGAGGCCATCTTGGCCGTCTTGGAGGCATCTTGGCCGTCAAGGAGGCTATCTCGGGGCCATCTCGAGCGGCAAGACCGACGAGACACGCACCCCAGCGTGCTGGGCCGAAGCCCCAGAGGGATTATTCCCCAATCAGAGCTTGCCTCTGTATGGGGTCCTAGCAGACTCATATGGTTAGGTGAGCTTTGCCGCCGAGTTCCGCGGCCCGCCCGGTTGCCCAGGTGCCCAGGAGCCTGGGTGCCCAGGTGCCCGGGTGCTTTATAGCCCTATAGCCCCATGGTTTTAGAGCCATATGGCTCTATAGCTCTATAACCCTATCGCCCTATAGCGCTATAACCCTATAGCCCTACAGCGCTATTGCCCTACAGCCCTATATCCCTATACCCCAATCGCCCTATAGCCCAGTAGCCCTGTAGCCCTATAGCCCTATAGCCTTATAGCCTTCTAGCCCTATAGCCCTATACTCCATAGCCTTATAGCCCTATAACCTTATAGCCTTATAACCATATGGCCCTTTAGCTCTCTAGCCCTATAGCCCTATACCTCTGCATGCCTATAGCCCTATAGCCCTATAGCGCTATATCCCTATAATCCTATAGCACTATGGTCCTATGGCCCTATAGCCCCATAGCCCTGTAGACTCATAGCCCTATAGCCCCAGAGCCCCAGAGCCCCAGAGCCCCAGAGCCCCATAGCCCCATAGCCCTACAGCCCTATAGCCCTGTGGCCCTATAGCCCTATAGCCCTATAGATCTATAGCCCTATGGCCCTATAGCCCTATAGTTCCATAGCCATGTAGCCCCATAGCCCCATCGCCATATAGCCCCATATCCTTATAGCCCTAAACAGACTTTGATTTGTTTTTTCCCCGATATCATATACATGTATATATATATATATATATATGTACATGTATATGTGTGTACATGGCAATCTCAGCTCAAGTGCCTCGGCTCACGACGTAGGCCCCGAGAATCTCAGTGCTCCAAGCTTGTCTCATGGCGGAATGGTCTGCCCACCCCCGCTACGGTTTCCTGATCGTGCGGGATGTCCTGACTGGCGCTCCCGGCCAGGAAATCGCCACCTTGCAGCTGCGCTGCACCGAGTCTGCTTGCTACCTCTGCGTGCCCGCGGGCGCCTTCGAGGACGGGTTCGCGAGCGGCCTGATGGAGTTCCCAGCGTGCGACGACAACGGCGACGTCGTCCCCGACGAGATCCTCCAGGTCGGGTGCGTTACGATTCCGCTGGACTCCGTCGACTCGTTCGGGGAGGCTCTCAGTTCCGATCCATGCCCCTTCGGTCTGGAGGGCTTGTGGCCGGAATAATGCGCCGCATTGCTCAAGGCGCCCGAAGGCTTCGGGGAGGAGCTTGACGACTTCGCTTCTGCGCCCACTGGGGATGGCGGGTTCGATGGCCCAGGCCAGGATTCGCCTCCCCTTCTTGGACCTCCGGCTCCTGCAGTTCCCAAGCGGCGCTCGGGGGCCGGCCGCGGCGCCGGCTCGCCACGGCCCACCGCCGCCAGCAACGCGGCGGAGACTGCCGTGGTGCGCGAGCAGGTGGCCTCTAAGACCAGCAGCCTCGAGCGCATCGAGGCGGCCATGGCAGGCAGGGGCGGTCCGCTCCCGCCGCCCGCTGGCTTTCGCGCGGCCGCCGCTGCTGTTGCCTCCGGGCTGGCCTCCTTGTTCAGTGGGGGTGGTGGCGGGGGAGGGCCAGATGCTGCTGCCCCGGCCGCTCCTCCAGCCGCCGCCGCCCCCGCCCGGCGC